ATGTTTCAATAATAATTTTAAATATCAATGGACTGAACTCCCCAGTCAAAAGACACAGGCTAGTTGAATGGATTAAGAAAAAAAATCCATCTTTTTGTTGTCTGCAAGAAACCCATCTGACATTCAAGGACAGGCACTACCTTAAGGTGAAAGTATGGAAAAGCATATTTCAATCAAAAGACAGTAAGAAACAAGCAGGGGTTGCCAATTCTAATATCTGACAAAATAGACTTCAAACTAAAACTAATCAGAAGAGATAAAGAGGGTCACTTCATTCTGATCAAAAGAATAATCAACCAAGAAGATATTACAATCCTGAACACATATGCCCCAAACTCTGGTGCACCCAAATTCATAAAAAAAGCTTTAATACACAGATTAACCCCAACTCAGTAATAGTAGGGGACTTCAATACCCCACTGTCTCCATTAGACAGGTCAACAGGACACATAATAACAGAGAGACATCTGAATTAAATAATACCATACATCAAATGGACTTTACAGACATCTTCTGAATATTCCACCCAAGCACCAAAGAACACACTTTCTATTCAGCACCCCAAGGAACTTTCTCCAAAACTGACCACATACCGGGGCACAAAACAAACCTCAACAAATATAAAAAATCCAGGAACACAAAAGGTCACAAATGGCCAAAACACAGAGAATAAGAGTCAGCAGAGTGTGGGTCCTTGGACAGGACTTCTGTATTGAAGTCCATCCATCCAGGACTCAGGGACCATTGTGGAAGAGGGGGTGGAAAGACTGTAAGAGCCAGGGAGGAGGTGCATGACCATACAGAAATAGTCCTACAGGGGCCTGGGACTCTTCTCATATAAACCTACAGCAATGGTATCAGCATGCACAAGACCCATGCAAACCTAGGCAGACAAAAACCCAGCACAGAACTGTGGAGATGAATAGCAAACCCCAATCTTAGTCGAAGAATTATTGGCAGCTGATTACTGCTATGGGAGGAAGAGCTGTTCTTCTTGAAGGGAGAGATTCTAGATAGGCTGGCTGAACTCCAGTAGATGAACTTGCACCAAGGGACATCTTGGGACACTAACTTTACATAATAGGCCTTAATACAAATGGCAGAATGTATGAACTCCAGTGGGGAGGGCTATGGGAGAGTGCCAAATGGAAAGGGAAAGGAGGTATAAAGATGGTTTTACGTATGAAATACACAAAAATTCAATTAAATTTTTTTTATCCTTGGTGTCATTTATATATCTTTCTTTAGCTATACTTGCTGACATTTAACATTTTAAATTTCTATAACATGGACTTCATAGACTATAGTGTGTTAACTGACTCTGTGAAGTGGTATGTAATTTCCGTGTGTGAGTGGGTGGATTTTCTAAATAGTGATAAATATCGATATTATTTTCAGAAGACATACTATTACACAAACAGTATTGGATGAATCTGAAGAATTTAAGGATAAAAAGCCAGTCACAAAATATGTTCCATATGATTCCACTTATATGAAATTGAAGAAAAAGTGATAGAAGTCAAAATAGTAATTATTTCTAATGTGTTAGGATACTAACTAGAATGGGATAAGAAATGCTTAATACCCTTGATAAAGGGGTGTATTTCATGCATATATACTTATACATAATTTCATCAAGATATACATTTAAGATTAATACAAATTACTGTATGCTTTAATATAAATATAATTATATATGAAATTATAAACATAAATATAGTCATATGCCACTTAATGACATTTTAACCAATTGAATTTAATTTTTACTGATATGTTAAAACAAAAATTATACATATTAATGTAATGCCACCTGATACTTGATATATAGATACCTTGTGTAATATTTAAACCAGGCCAAACACATCTCCTTGAAAATTTATCATATTTACAAATTTTTTATTTTTATTTTATGTGTATGAGTGTTTTCCCTGCATGTATCTAAGTGCACTTATGCATTCAATGCCCACAGAGGTCAGAAGAGGGCATCAGATCTCCCAGAACTGGAATTACAGGTAGTGTTAGCCCACCATGTGGGTGCTGGGAACTGAAACCGGGTCCCCTGTAAGAGCAGACAGTGCTCTTAATTGCTGAGCCATCTCTCTAGTCCCACATTTACGACTTCTTTATGGTGAAGACATTCAAAATATTTTCTTCTATAACTATAGTACATAATTGTTACCTATAGTCACATTACTGTGCAATAGCACACTAAACACATTATTTTTATTTAGCTGTAACTTAGAACTTATTGATCAACAGTTCTCATCCCTCATTCCTGTTTACGCTCCTCAGTGTCTACAAGACACCACAGACACCACTCTATTTTCAATTTCCATAAGATCAACTTTTTTATAGTCCACATTTCTCTTTTGATGCATGACTTATTCCACTTAACATAATTATTTCCAACTCTGTGTTGTTGCAAAAGACAGAATTTTATTCCGTTTATGGCTAAACACTGTTCCATTTGTGTCATTTTCTTCATTCATTTGCTTATGGACATGAATTTTTTTCCTTCTCTTGGCTATTATAAAAAGTGTTGCAGTAAACATGGGGTGCAGATATCTCCCTCACAAACAGAATTCATTTCTTTTGCTTGAATACCCAGTAATGGGATTACTGGGTATTGTGGTAGGTGGTAGTTCCATTTTGAATTTTTGTAGGAGCCTTCATAGTGGTTTCTATAATGGCTCTACTAGTTGACATCCATACATTCATACCAACACTAGACAAATGATCCTTTTACTTCTTTAGACAAATGTTCCTTTTACTTCTTTGCCAGTATTTTGCTTGTTTGTTTTTTTGGTTGGCTTTTGGTAGGTTTTTTGTTTTTGTTTTTTGTCTTTTGTCTTTTTGGTAATAGCCATTCTTAGTGGAATGTGCTACTATTCAATTATGGCTTTAATTTGCAATTTCCTGATAATTAATGATGTTGAGAACTTTTTTCATATACCCGTTTGTCACTTATAGGTCTTTTTATAAATGTTATATAGGCAAAGTGACATTCTATTCAATGATGGACAGCTTATATAACAGTGGTATGCCCAATGATCCTGTAGCTGTCTTATTTTGGATAATGAACTCTATTATGTTCACATAATAACAAAATGACCCAATGGAAATTATTCAATCTGTAGTTTGATATCAGCATATATATGTATATATATGCAGATAAATAATTATGCTTTTATTGAATTAAAGCAAATACTTCAAATTGCACTAATACTTTCACATGTATGCTAACTTTTTAAGCAATGATTTTCAGCTGAAATTTCAGAGTAAATAGCATTTCATGTTTGAAATTAATTTAGCCGTCCAAAGATGCCTAAGTAGGCAGCACTCCTCCACTGTGCTTTAGAATCTCAGTATAAGAATACACACTTTAAAAGGAGTTTGAATAGTGATACCCTGTATGGGTGAACAATGCTGTTCCCAGAAGACATGAATTACTAAAGGAAAATCTTAGCGCCAGGCATGTGATACTTCCCTAGGAGTTATTGGCCAGGCAGGCCCCAGAGGCACCCAGAACAACACAGGCTATTGCATTGCTTTTGTTTCCCATCAGAATTAGATGGCAATACCTGTTGATGTCTGCTGGTACTTTGCCCATGCCCAGGGAAGGGCCCCACACCCATGCACATTTAAGCAGCACTATTAGACATAATGAGTTGTTTAAAAAGATAACATGAAGTTAGGAGGGGTGTGTTTGGGGAAGGGTTCTGGTAAAGTTAGAGGGAGGATTGGGATTATATTTGATCAAAATGCATTCTATACAGCCAAGTATAGTGGCACATGCCTTTAATACCAGCTCTTGGGAGGCACTATTCCTTGCAAATCCTCCCATCAAGAGATAGTTTATTTTATATTCCTTGAATTAAGCTTGGCTTTGTAATATGTTTGGCTCAATAGAATGAGATAGGCACCATGCTATACTAGGTTTGAGCTTGTGTCTTAAGGGGCTTCGCACTCTTTTGATGGCTGTTTCTGTAACTCTTGTCATTGCCGTTATATGAAGAAGGCTGAACTTGGGCTTGCTTTAGCTAAACAAGGAAGGCCTGATTTAGAGGACAGATATCATATAGAGCCATCTAGTCAAGTCACTGTGGACTAGCAAATTCTCAGGTGACCTGGTAGTTCCCGCAGATGCATGAGTAAGCCCAGATAAGACAGCCAGTTCTATCCTGGATCATCTGAACCACCCAGTTAAGCCCAATCCAAATCATAAGCCACAGTATCATGAACTAAATAAACAGTAGTTCATAAGAAATAAATTTTTTTTTCAAAACTCAAGACTTTTAACAGATGATTAGAGAAGGTACACACTTGCTTCCCCAGGAAGTAACCCAGTAATCCCTGGTGCCGTGAGAAAAGTCAGTGCGAACATAAATCTAACATGAGAAGCATGGAAAGCCTGAGAGCCCAGAAAGATCCAAAACCCTGGTGAAGCCACTTTTGAGGAAGGGTCTATCTCTTCCCTTTTAAATGTGTAAACAAATCCCTTCCTTTAGCAAGTTTAAACTTCGCTTTTTACTTCAACAAAAGCACCTTATTAGGTTCAACTTATTACTGCACTTTTTTTTTTTGTTTTTGGTGGTGGGGGTGTTTAAGCCAATAAAATTTTAAACTAGTTTATAAAGCACAAAAGCAAATTAATACCAATCCATTGAGATTTTTACCTGAAAGAATAAATGTTCAGAAGAAACTGCCATTGTCAACATTAAGCTTGTGATTTGGCAGTATACATTCACAGAAAAATGAGTGATTTATGATTTATTGATTGATTTTATTTTTATTTGTATGAAAGCTTTACCAGCATGTATGTAAGTGCACCCATGTTGTACAATGCCTGCAGGGGCCAGATGAGGGTATCAGATCTCCCTGGAACTGGAATTATGAATGATTGTTAGCCACCATGTGGGTTCTGGGAACCAAACCTGGGTCCTCTGAAAGAACAGCCAGGGCCATCTCTCCAGCCCAAGTACTTATATGAATATCCTTACCTTAATTGGATTTCTATAGAAAGACTGCTTTCCAGAAGATGGAAATGACATGGCAATAATACGCTCTGGAAGTCAAAGTAATCGCTATGATGAATATCATGACAGAATGACACAACACACGAAAAGTTCATCTACATACAACATGACTCCTTTTTGATAGAAAAGAGCTTTCAAGACAGAAAAGGTAACCTTCTTTTGGAATAATTAAGGTAATACGATACCTTAAATTGCCCAGTAGTATAATAATAACTATTAAACTGGCACACTGCTCCTGAGATACAATTGGCTCTACAGTAGGCCACAGATTTATGTTGGCCTAATGCTACAGCTCCCTGTCTGCATTAGAATTTGTTTCTTTTCTGTAGCACACCAAAGGAAATACCTGAGCCCTAGTAAAGGTGGGAGCTGCCACAATGTTTCCCATCCCATTTGACTCAGAAAATCTGAAATAAACAAAGTTTTGAGTTAATTTTCTGGAATTCTGAAAAGGTAAGAAGTCTCTCTAGCACCCTTGGGACCAAGGATAACTTCCAGAACTCAACAAATTCTAAATCAAACGCAATGAACTCAACTGAAAATTAATTCCACCTCCTGTAGCTCTGGTTTGAAATAACATGAGATAGTTCTACTGCCAAGGCCAAACTCCAAGTGCCACACTGCTACAGTGGCATGTCTTCATGGACAAATATTTTGAAATAACACGGCATAAACAAAAGAATATATTATCATTCACAAGCAAAATGTGAAATTACTATAAGCAAACCAACAGGCAAGCTTCACAAACCAGTAACATAAGTGAGGTCAAGGTCAAATCCATCCTTCTTGTACCGCCTTTTGTTTCCTGAAACCTGAATTAGAAATTCATTATTTAGAAAACTTAAATCCACAGGAAAACAAATTATATGACATCTACAAACCTTGCACGTGTTTCCTGAAACATAAGCACGCCTGCGCTGCCACTCACCAGCCTTCTAGTCAGCATTCCAAGGTGTCTTTTCTGATGAGCCAGTTGAAGAATTCTCACCAAAGTGAGAAGACGTAGAGGTCGAAGAAAAATTGCCAGTCTAAATAAATGTAGAGATAAATTTTTATATTTGCTACAGAAACAGACTTTGTTAGTGTAAAAATGTGGATTAAGTTTAACACTTTGAGGGGATGGGGTGCTGGGGATCAAATCCAAGGACCTGTGCATACTTGACATGTTGTGCTACACTGAGCTGAACCACTAATCCTGTATTTAGTTTGAAACAGTGCTTCTTGACCACAAAAACTTGGTAATATCTAGAGCGAACTTTCATTGTCACAATATTGTGTGGGTGGGTTGCTACCAACATGTAGTAGCTAGAGGCAAGGAACGCTACTAAATACCTCACAATTAATGAAACTCTGCCCCCTCCCATCAATAATTATCTGGCCCAAAATATTAAAAACGCTATGGTTGGGAAATTCTGGCTAGAGAAATAGCGATAAGGCAGACTCAGAATTTGTGAATTTATTTTTTCATTAACACTAGCACTTTTCTTTTTTTCGTTCATGAAAACATTGGTTTTAATAATAAAAATCAGAGCAGAAATTAATGAGGTAGAAAAAAAGAAAACAAGCTGGGTGTGGTAGCCCATGCCTTTAATCCCAGCACTCCGCCAGAAGCAGGCGGATCTCTGTGAGCTCAAGGCCAGCCTGGTCTCCATAGAGAATCCAGGCCACCTGCAGCCACAGGAAAGCCCTGCCTCAAAAAAAAAAAAAAAAAAAAAAAGAAAGAAAGAAAGAAAAAAAAAAGAAAAGAAAAACAATACAAAGAATCACTGAATCATCTAAAAGCTGATGCTTTGAAAAGAAAAGACAGACCCTTAGCCCAGTTAACCAAAATGAAGAAAGAGTAAATCCAAATTAACAAAATAAAAGATAAAAGGGGAACCATCACAACATACATCAAAAAGATCTAGAACATTATAAGAGAATACTTTGAAAACCTATACTCTATTAAATTTGAAAACATAAAAGAAATAGATACATCTCTAAATGCATGGAAACCACCAAAGCTAAATCATGAAGAGATCAACAGCTTAAACAGACCCATAACAAATAAGGAAATTGAAACAGTAATACAAAATAGCCCAACTAAAAAAAGCCCAGGCCCTCTTAGCAACATACTCCAATCCAAAGGTCAATAATGTCTAAAGTATTTGGGAGCTTTTATCTAATCCTTAAAAGATTTTAGGGTTACCTCTTCAGAGGGGGGAATGTTAGAGTAGCAAAAAGCCCCATAAAAAATAATGAATAAACAGTACATGAAGTTATCAGAAAAAAAAGTGAAGGGGAGATATGGGAGGAGTTGGAGGGGAGGGAGTGGGCCAGGTGCCAATGGTAGTCACAGCAGAATTCTACCAGACATTCAAAAAAGATCTACAACCACTACGACTTAAATTATTCAAAAAGATAAAAGCAGAGTTAGAACTCCCAAACTCTATGAATCCAGTATCACTCTAATACCAAAACCAGGCGATGATATAACAAAAAAGAAAACTATAGACCCATATCCGTAATGAACATAGATGTGGGTGTTATTGGGGGAAGGCGGGGATAATGGGGATGCTAGGACTAGGGAGGGGGGAGGAAGGCTAGATGGGAGAAAAAAAAGAGTAGAGATAAATGAATCTTGGGGGGCTAGGATATGATATTATGCATAAGAGATCCCAAAATTTTCATCAGAACACTAGAAATGATTTACACTTTTAACAAAGTTGAAGGTTACAAAACCAAACTACAAAAAACAGGAGTCTTTCTATATTCCAATAACAAGCAATTGGAGAAAGAGTACATGGAAGCCCTTCTGTTCACAATAGCCTCAAAAAAAAAAAATACCTAGGAAAAACTTGACCAAAGACATTAATGATTTCTATAATGAAAATTTTAAATATTTGAATAGATTGAGGAAGACATCAGAAGATGGAAGGACCTCACATGCTCACAGGTTGGAAGAATTCATATTGTGAAAATGACCATCCGATCAAAAGCATATAGAGTCAATGCAATCATAATCAAACCATGACATGCTTCACAGAATTTTTTTTTAATCCTAAAATTCAGGCTGGAGATTGCTCAGTGGTTAAGAACACTGGCTATTCTTGCAGAAGACCTGGGTTCGAATCCCAGCACCCACATGGCAGCTAACAACCGTCTATAACTCCAGTTCCAGGGGATCCGACAGCCTCTTCTGTTCTCCATGGGCATTGCATGACATGGGTGCACTTACCTCATGCAGGCAATACACGTATACACATAAAATAAAAATAATAAATAAAATATTTTTTTAAATCCTAAAATTCATATAGAATCACAGAAGATCCCAGATAACCAAAACAATCCTGAGCGCAAAGAGCAATACTGGGGATTACCATACCTCAGATCTCAAACTATATTACAGAGCTATATTCATTAAAACAGCATGGTACTGGCACAAAAACAGACACACAGATCAATGGACCATAAGTGAAGACCCATACATGAGTGCATGCAATTACAGTTACCTGATATTTGACAAAGGTGCCAAGAACAAAAAACGGAGGCAAGACAGCATTTTCAACAAATGGTGCTGGCAAAACTGGATCCTCATCTGTAGAAGATGAAACTGGACCCTTATCTATCACCTTGCACAAAAGTCAACTCCAAATGGATCAAAGACCTCAATGAGAAACATGAAATTCTGAAACTGTTAGAAGAAAATATAGGCAACACTCTGAAATATATAGGTGTAGGAAGGAATTCCTATACCAGACATCAGTTGCTCAGAAATTAAGGTCAATAATTGACAAATGGGGCTGCATTAAACTAAAAAGTTTCTGTGCAGCAAAAAGAACAACCAAGGAAATGAAGAGGAAACTCACAGAGTGTGGAAAAAATCTTCACCAGCAACATATCTGACAGAGGTTTAATATCCAGAATATATAAAGAACTCAAAAAACAAATAATCAAGAAAACAAATGACCCAATTAAAAGATGGGCTGTGGATCTGAACAGGGTTTTCTCAAAAGAAGAAATTAGGGGAATGCAAAATCAAAACCACTTTAAGATTTCATCTTTTCTCAGTCAGACTGGCTAAGATCAAGAGAACCAATGATACCAAATGCTGGAAAGGATGTGGAAAATGGGAATGCTCATTCACTGCTGGTGGGAATGCAAACTTGTGCAACCCCTATGGAAAGCAGTGTGGAGAGCTCTTAAAAAAACTACAAATGAACCTATCATATGATGTGATTATACCGCTCCTTGGTATATACCTAAAGGACTCATCCTACTGCAGAGATAGGATTTTTTTTTTTTTAACCACAGGAAAGCCAATTTTCTTTTTTCTTTCTTTTTTTTTAAACTTTTACAAAATCTTTATACATGCATATAAGGTGTTTTGGTCAAATCCATGCCCAACAACATTCCCCTCTCTGAAGAGGTAAACCTAAAATCTTTTAAGGATTAGGTATAAGCTCCCAAATACTTTTGACATTTTGGCCTTTGGAACAGAGTATGTTGCTAACAGACCCAAGGATGTTTTGACTTTTAGCCCAGAAACTGGCTACATTTCTTCGAGGTCTTTTTACTCTAACTGCCTAGCCAGTTCCTACCTCCTATTCTTATCACACCATCCTCTGAAAGGGTTACCCAAACTGCCAATAGGGAATAGAGATGCAGACTGCTCTGGCTTCTTCCATGCTGAACAGGAGATAGGGATTGTTTTTTTTAAAATATTTTATTTATTTATTTATTTTATGTGTATGAGTATATTGCCTACATGTGTGTAAGTGCACCCATGTCATGAAGTGCCCGCAAAGATCAGAAGAGGATGTCAGATCACCTGGAACTGGAGTTATGGATGGATTTTAGCCTCCATGTGGGTGCTGAGAATCAGACCCAGGTCCTCTGCAAGAGCAGTCAGTGCTCTTAACCACCACGTCATCTCTGCAGCACCCAGCAGAGATACCCATACATTCACGTTTCTTGTTGTTCTTTTCACAATAGCTAAGAACTAGAAGCAACCTAAGTGTCCCTCAACTGACAAGTGGACAATGAAAACATGGTACATTTGCACAATGGAGCTCTACTACTTATTGGTAAAGAAAGACAAAATCATGAACTGTGCAGGCGAATAGATGGAACTAGAAACTGTTATACTAAGTGAAAGTAACAGAGACTCAGAAAAACAAATGACGTATGTTCTCCCTCATTTGTGGATCTTAGTACCAAATTCTTCTATGTGAGTTTATATCCTGATATAACTGCAGGAGCCAGGAAAATTGAAAGGAACCAGGGAGGGAAAGGGAAAGAAGGAGCCTGAGAGAGAAGGTGTTAGCAAGGGGGAAATGGGTAAAATGGGAGTATTTCTAGAGTGTGATGAGTCCTTTGGGTATATGCCAAGGAATGATATCACTGGATCATATGGTAAATTAATTTTCAGTTTTTTGAGGGTTCTCCACACTGCTTTCCATAGTGGTTGCATAAGTTTGCATTCCCACCAGCAGTGAACGAGCATTCCTCTTTCTCCACGTCCTCTCCAGCATTTGGGGGTCTTCTGTTCTCTTGATCTTTGCCAATCTGACTGGGGTAAGATGGAATCTTAAAGTGGTTTTAGTCTGCATTTCTCTAATTACTAAGGATGTTTGGCACTTGATGGGACTCCTATGTGGAACGTCACCCACCCACGGCTCAGGGACCATTGTAGAAGAGGAGGCGGAAAGGTTGTAAGAGCCAGGGCTAGTTCATGAACAAAAGGAGGTGGAAGCTTCCAGGCAAATGGAGGTTTGCTCATGTGAGCCTGTGGCAGTGGTGGCATTGGGCGTGGGACCCATGTCAGCTCAATTAAACAAGGGCCCAAAGGGGAGGTGAGAAATAGATGGCGGGCCAGCACTAGACTGAGAACTGTTTGAGACTGATTGCTGCTGGGTGAAGGAGAACATGACTTACAGATGATCACTGGGTGGCTGACTAGACTCCAGTGGACACATTTACGCTGAAGGACATCTGGTGAACGAATAGGACTTAACAAGTATGGCAGACTGCATGGGGTTCGATGGAG